GCACTTAAAATGTGAACACAGATATTCTCGTCAAATATAAGATAACATGATATTTGGGGTTTTATTTCAATTAAAAAATTCACATCAATTTGATTTTTTAAAAGCCCATTTATAACACCACAGGTCTTAAGATTAGAAGAATCTACTTTTGTTTTGAAATTTCCAGCTGTCGTGAGAAGTGGTTTCAAAATAACAACGACCATCATCACTAAGATCCCCCATGTCATGTCACGTCATTTTTAAAAATAATATATATTGTATTGATTTTTTACAGAGAGGAGGGAGAGAGATAGAGAGCTAGAAACATCAATGAGAGAGAAACATCGACCAGCTGCCTCTTGTGCACCCCCTACCGGGGATGTGCCCGCAACCAATGTACATGCCCTTGGCCGGAATCGAACCTGGAACCTTTCAGTCCGCAGACCGATGCTCTACCACTGAGCCAAACCAGCTTTAGCACATGTCACGTTATTTAATGGGTGCTTTTTAAGCATAGATAAGGCATTTTACTAGATGTGGGGGACAGGAGAAGGAAGATGGAGATTCAGTCCTTGAATCTGACACTTCACTGACTGTTAATATAACTAGTTTTTAAAAATATTTTTTCATATGTAGTTTATTTTTATTCTTTCTAAAAATCAGTATTAAAAGTTAGTTTCCATATGGGTATTAATAAAATTTTAATGGAAGACAATATATTAACAAATCAAATGCTTCCCATTATAATTAAATCAGAGAATTTTCAAGGTATAAAAGAACTTATAGATCTTATAATTTAACTCTAAATTTCATGCTGCATCTAGCTTTAATTTGTTGGTTAATTCTGTAATCATTCTTAAATGTGAACCAAATGAAAACCACAGGGCTTGCATTTGTCTGTATCCTCAGAAGAAAAGGCCACTTTGAGCAGGAGTGCTGGCCATCCCTAACCCTCAGTTTCCAAACCACACAATGTCTGGTCTGTGGGCCAGGATTGACGAGTTCACTATTATTGCTTTATCCCAGTGGTCTTGAGTCAGTAATTTTACTAAATATTACAAGGTTCTGCACTTGGATAGAGTGTCAACTTGAGGACTGAAGGGTCTGGGGTTCAGCTTCGGTCAAGGGCACATGCCCAAATTGCAGGCTCAATCCCCAGTAGGCGGTGTGCAGGAGGCAGCCTATCAATGACTCTCATCACTGATGTTTCTATCCCTCCCTTCTACTCTAAAATAAATAAATAAAATTGCAGTATCAATTCACATCTCAGGATTCATTGCTTGTATATTATCTGGGCAACATTAAATCTACAATATTACGTTACAATCTAATTTAGTTGCAGAATGCAAATATCGGAAACTCTAAAACCAACCAGTCACCACTTCCAGACTATCTTCAAGATTTTTAAGTATCTACTTACTAAAGTTCTTCATGCTGTTCGCTTTCTAATTGTTTAATTTGCCCAACTAGCCGGGTTTCTGGTGGTGTTGTTATCATATATAATCTTGATTTTATTTTATAGAACTATCTGAATTAAACATACCAAGTGAAACATAGAATACTTTAATTTGGAGGGAGTAAATTTAGAGGATTTCGCTGTATTCTGTGGTGCAGGAAAATGCAACTGCTCTTACATAACCAACGCTGCCTGAGAGCTAAGAATCAAGAACTGTCTTTGGCCCCCACAATCATGCCAGAGTTCTCAACTGCATCATGACCACTATAACAGCAAGAAAATCAGTCATGGTACAGATTTAGGAGCAATCTATAAGAACAAAAATAGTGACTACCTCTATGTGCCCACACACTCCCAGCACTCACTTTTCCTGATGCGGAATCAGAGGCTTAGAGAGATGAAGTCATCTGCCAAGGTCATACGGATAATGAGTAAGCTCCTGAGGACAAGGACTGGGATGCAGCTATCGTTCTATACAGAGAGCCCCCTGTATGGGTACACTCACTGCTGGTGGGGTGCCTGTGTCTTCCTTTTATTTTTTATTTTTTAAATTAAAAAAAATTATTTTATTGAGTGTTTACAGAGAGGAAGAAAGAAGGATAGAGAGTTAGAAACATCGATGAGAGAGAATCATCCATGAGAGAAAATCAGCTGCCTCCTGCACACCCCCCACTGGGGACGTGCCCGCAACCAAGGTACATGCCCTTGACCGCAATCCAACCCGGGACCTTTCAGTCTGCAGGCTGATGCTCTATCCACTGAGCCAGACTGGCTTTGGCTGTGTCTTCCTCTTAATGTCAGAAGTTTCTTATTTAGTTTAAGGCCTGCTCCAGAATTAGCTTGCTCTCTTGTTCTTGTGTTAGGATGGGGGCAGTTCTTATGAGAGGCTGATCCAGGAGACAGTTAAAATTGATTTTTAAAATGATGACACCCCCCCCACAAAAGAGATAATAAGGATCTGACAAAGAATTGATCACAAGAAAGATCATTAAGTAACAATAGGGGGCAAAAGATCATGTTACATAACAGCAAAATGGGAAGGGTTCCTGTTTTGTTTCTATTTCCTTAAAAAAACAAACACCTGTCTGGAGTTAGGCCCAGCTGATTTTTTTTTTTTTCCACCAAAGGTATAAGACACTCTTGGCTTCACTCTCTGAAATAAGGTTTGGCAGCTGTTCACCACAGAGCAACATTACATAACAAGGCAGTTCAGGAAGCAAAAAAGAAAGCCACATTGAAATGAGGCTTTGGTGAGTGGGCTTGTGGAGAGGCAGAATACACTTTACCAACACAGGAAACAATCAATGGCAAGGCTGTGTGAACAGTCATTATGTAAATGCTCAGGGTTTTTCCCACAATAAATCTCCGCACTGTATATACACTTACATATCGCAGCAGTGACTTTAAGTGAACGTTCGTGTGGGAGAGAACTGCTGCCAGAGTCTGAATTCTTTGGGGGATGTTCTTGGAAGCCAAGTATGACCCCCCCTCCCCCCCCCCCCCCCCCCCGCCACACACACACACACACTCTTTAATGATGCCACCCTACAGAAACATTTAAATAACAAAGAGTAATTTCAATGGAAAGAGTAAAGTTCTGAGACTTCTGACCTTATTAGCAGCTCTAAAAAATATGTACTGCAACTCACTATCTAACACAAGTTATTTCCTGAGCATGTTTTTCTCCCCTTTAAGACAAATATCTTTAAAAACAGTTTGAGTACCAAGCTAGGAGTCACAATTGGCCCCAGAGTCAGCACTTTCTGGCTGTACAAAATTTCCTCATTAAAGCCATGTGCTAAATTGAAATAGATAAATTACTGGAAATACAACCAAAATATAGAGAATATTTGCTTGCTTATGCAAATCCTTGAAAAGGCCTACTGTTTGTCTTTAACCAATACTGACAGAAAACATGTACAATGAACTTGACTTAGCACTGAAGTGGATCCTTAATAGGTCAATCTATTCTTGCTGAACGCACCAGAGGGTACATCTTTGGAAATATTGTATATTTTAAAATCTCAGTTATTTCTAAATAGTATGCTTAATTTCTTGCTTAAGAACTATTGTCATTTAGGTTCCTAAGCATGAAACAACACATAAACTTTGTATTTGCAAAAATATTTATTTGGGATCATTTCCTGATCAATATCCTGTAAGACTAAGTTCTATATCATGCAAGAAGAAACTGAGGCCTAGTAACCTATATGTACTATTTAGGTTTATAAATGGAAGATGTGGTTGAGACCTGATACACATAAATGGTCTTGTTTCATTTTAAATCAAAGATACTGGCTGAAAGGCAAGGCCTTAAGATTAAAGAAGAAAATGCTATTTGGTTTATCTTGAAATAGTAGCAATCTTTACATATTCCATATATCCTGGAATTTATCCGGTATCCCCAAATGGTCTGAATATCATAAAAGTCTATTCCTCACTATGAAAAAAAAACACACAAAAAACTCAGCATATTGGGAGTTCTGTATTTAGCATTTAAGTAAAATAAATGCCGGTGTTATAAATCAGGATGAATGGCAAATTTGGAATAAAGTTTCTAACTACAGATAATGGTGCATTATCTCTGCTGAATAAATTAATAAACAATGGGGTTTCTAGCTTTATCATCTTTTGAAACTATACACTCCCAACATCAAAACTATGACATTTTCCCAACCTAAAAATATTGATGTCTCAAGAACTTCAGCTTAAGGTTGTTTAACTACTGGGAAGTTACTATAGAAACGCCAGTGCATCCATTCATCCATTAAGTGTAACTGGGTCTCATGCATGGCCTCACATTGTATGTCCTTTAAATTAGGTTGCAAAGGATTGAACTTCAAGTCCGAATATCATGCTATAAGTAGAGGCAAGATCTACACACAGCTTGAATCACACACATCATTTTGATGAAAGATGATTAAAGTATAGTTGGTAAAGCACATTAACAATAATTTAGAACTACACATACACAAGGTGAAAACAAATACTCAGAAACTGAAGAGAAGCTGCTCGTGTCAGCAGCATCAACATTCCCATGGTGGTCAGTCTCCTTTCATCACGGCCAATTAGCTAACGGAGGAGGAAAGACAGAAACTATGGGAAATGCAGGCCATCTGCTCAATCCAGATGCACCAGCACATAACTCTTATAATAACTCTTATAGCCAAAGCTTTTTACCACAAAACGAACAGAGATCAGATCTAATCCTCTCACAGAAAACCCCAAAAAAGATAGACATATTTTCATCACAAATAAAAATAACGACAAAATCATTCAGTGAGATCTTTCAAATATCAGTCAATACTTTTATCACTGAAACACACAGATTAAACAGAATACTTAAATCAGCATTAGAGAAAGTGGGGTTGGATTCTATTAGCGTTTTTTTTTTTTTCTGTTTAAAAGCATGCTTAACACATTTTCAATTCTTAAAATAACAAGAGCGTTTTAGTTCAGTCATCCTAGTGTTAAAAAAAACATCAGCAGATATTCCTTTAATATTGTGTAATTCAAATAATGTGCATTTTCTTTCTTATAAGAAAAGGTTAAAAAATATTCTTACCTTGAAATTGTGAACCTTTTCATATTTTGGAATTTGCTCGTTTTCTTTCAGAGTTGCTCTTCTAACAAGTGATGTCAACTGTGAATAAGCAAAGAGTTTCAGAGGTTGCCAGATTGTCACAGACGACTTTCGAGAGCCCAGTTTCATTCCCAAGGCTGCTATCAATAAATCTTGCTGACGGCCCTCTTGTTTTGATTTGCGAGCTGCAGCTCTGTTAGTTTTCCTACCCGACCAAGACTCTTTGGATGGCATTTTTGGAACTCACAGAAAATAAAACCTATATTAATCTATGTCTGTCGATGGACTCTATTCAGCTATCACATGAGCATTTTGCCAGCCAGCACAGAACCCTAACCTACAGAGAGCTGCAGAGAAACATCACAGAGAGGTGGAGGAGGATGATGAAGCACTTCTTAAAAAGAGGTCGACTAACCAGAAAAATTCTTCTTTCTTCCTTTTTTTTTTTTTTTTTTTTTTTAAAGGGCTCTCTATTTAAGCTTCTGAAAACTTGAGTCTGAACAAAAAGTGTCGATGCTAACATACAAAACATTCACCATCTCTCTGTCCCTTTTTAAAAGCCATCCAATTTTGACAAATGGTACATTTCTAAAAGCTTTCTTCCCTACTGAATATATTAACATCCATTCTGAATGAAAGATGCCTACATACTGCCTGCAATCAGTTTCCAGAAACTCTGTGCAACCCTTAACAGGGTGGGGGAGGGATTTGACAAGGAAGGCTGGATTAGACTGGTCACTGTAAGAAAGGAGATAACCAATGAAAATCAAGCAACAGTATTTAAGTTTTGTATTCCTCAACTCACTCTGTTTCTCCCTCCTCTCATGTAAGATTTTCTTGCTTGCTCAACGAAAACAAAACAAAAACCCACAGTGGGAAGACAATGAGCAATGACTGAGTCATGCCTCATTACAAAATGGAATATATTGTTACCTATTGAAAGCAAAAGAAAATTAACACGCAGCAACCAGGTTTTAAAAAGAATGCACCAATGCCAGGTAAATGCTTTCCATATCCTTCTTTGTGCATATAGACTGAGATTAGTTAACTAAAACCAAATTTTACTGAAGATGAGAAAAAGCTGACAAATATTTTGATAAAAAAGGAGTTTAACTAGGTATCATACTGTTTTCACATATAACAAGGAACATGCATATAATAGTTAGCACCCTGAAGTGGTGAGTTTTGTCTCCTAACTATGAGTGCTTCTGCTGTTGGTCTACACTTAAATAGATCTAACCATATGTTTATCCTTAGTCTCAACATTCATTATTCAAAGAACCTGAGGTCAGATCACAATGGGATATAGTGTAACTGTGCTTATAGGAAGGAACCTTGGATGTTTGCTGATGTAGAACTACGGGTGCTCATGGATTGGAAGAATTAATATTGTTAAAATGCCCATACTACCCAAAGCAATCTATAGATTCAATGCAATCCCTATTCAAAATACCAATGGCGTTTTTCACAGAACTAGAACAATTAATCCTAATATTTATATGGAACTACAAAAGACCCTGAATAGCCAAAGCAATCTTGAGAGAAAAAAACAAAACTGGAGGCTACATGCTCCCTGATTTAAACCTATACTACAAAGCTATAGTAATCAAAGCAGTATGATGCTGATACAAAAACAGGCATATGGTTAATGAAATGGAAGAGTTTAGAAATAAACCCATGCATATATGGTCAACTAATCTGTAATAAAGGAGGCAAGAATATACAATGGGAAAAAGACAGTCTCTTCAATAAATGGTGCTGGGAAAACTGGTCAGAAACATGCAAAAAGAAAAGAAAAAGAAATTAGACTAGGGTAGAACCAAGATGGCAGCATAGGTAAATACCTGTTCTTGCTGCCTCTCACAACCATATCAAAATTAAACTAAAATACAAAACCATCATCCAGAACCGTGGGAAACCAGGCTGAGTGGAAGTACCACCACTAAGTGGAAGTACCACAACTAAGAGGTAAAGAAGAAAGTGCACTGAGACTGGTAGAAGGTGCGGAGGTATAGAACAGGCTGGCACCCGGTTGTGCTGCTTTTTTAAGGGGGAGGGAGGTACAAGCTCCTGCTTGCTCTGAGCTCCAGTGCTGGGTGAGACTTTGGAGGACCCAGACACATATGGGGAGAAACTGGACTGTCTGGCATCAGGTAGGAACTGCATCTGGATCAGGGAGCCCCAAAACTATCCAAAGAAGGCCCAAGGCCAGCAGCCTGCCTTGCCTCACAGCTGGGCCTCATCTGGGTACTTCCAAACCCCATACAAAGAGGAGGAATCTGCTGATCTTTCTGTAGTTCCTGCTGGATGGCCCCAGGCAGTGGTTGACTTTGCACCATCTTGGAGCTCCAAGAGCCAGTGTACCCAGTGATCAGTGTGAGACCATACCAGATTACAACTCTTCACTTCAGTAAGTGACACACTCAAGGGGAAGACTCAGTGAGCACCAAAGCCCCACTGAATCAAGTCCTGCTCCATAGGGGTGTCTGCTGCACAGCAGCTCTTCCACTGTAGACACGGCTGGTCCCACAGTCAATTTGCCTGGAGATCAATTCCTCCCAGTGATACCAACAGCAATCAAGGCTTAACTACAACAAGTCTGTGCGCACAGCCCACAAAGGGCTACACCAAGAGTGTCCACCTCAGGTGACTGGGGAGGCTGAGCCACCAGGCCTATAGGACACATACTATACAAGACTACTCTATCAACTCAGGGAGACTTAGCAGCTACCAAATACAGAGAAACAAACACAAGGAGACAGCCAAAAGGTGGAGACAAATGTGTCAGAAGTGGAAGAAAGCAAACTACTGGATATAGAGTTCAAAACTACAGTTATAAGGTTACTCAAGTATCTTCTAGAAACCTCAGAGGAACTTAGTGAGACCTTCAAGGATCTTAGTGAGAATACAAAATAATAATAATAATAATAATAATGATAATAATAATAATAAAAGGATCAGTCAGAAATTAAGCATACACTGACTGAAATAAAGAATAATATACAGCAATTCAACAGTAGAGGATCCTAATAATCAAGTCAAAGATTTGAAATATGAGGAAGCAATAAACACCAAACCAGAAAAGAAAAAAGAATCCAAAAATATGAAGATATTGTAAGGAGCCTCTGGGACAACTTCAAGTGTACCAACTTCTGAATTATGAGGGTGCCAGAAGAAGAGAGAGAGCAAGATATTGAAAACCTATTTGAAGAAATAATGACAGAAAACTTCCCCTACCTGATGAAAGAAAAAGAGTTATAAGTCCAGGAAGCACAGAGAACCCCAAAGAGGAGGAATCCAAAGAGGACCACACCAAGACACATCATAGTTAAAATGCCAAGGGCAAAAGACAAAGAATATTAAAAGCAGCAAGAGAAAAACAGTTATTTACAAGGGAGTACCCATAGGACTGTCAGCAGATTTCTCAACAAATTATGCAGGCCAGACAGGAGTGGCAAGAAATATTCAAAGTGAGGAATAGCAAGAACTATAATCAAGATTACTCTACCCAGCAAAGCTATCATTTAGAATTGAAGGTCAGATAAAGAGCTTCACAGAAAAGAAAAAGCTAAAGGAGTTCATCATCACCAAAACAGTGTTATATAAATGCTGAAGGGTATTCTTTAAGAAGAGGAAGAAAAAGAAAAAGGTAAAGATAAAAAATTATGAACGAAGTGACAACAAATACATATCTATCAATAAGTGAATCTAAAAATGAAAAAAAATTCTGATGAATTTTGAAAACTGGTGAATGTAATAGAATCAAGGGCATGGAAATGGAGCGGACTGACAATTCTCGGTAGGGGGAGGGGTGCAGGAAGAGATGGGACAAAGATCTTATATGCTTGTATTCAATGCTTATGGATGTGGACAGTGGGGTGCCAAGAGCCTGGGGTGGGGTGGGAACTGGGTTGAGGGGAGCCTTGGGGGAAAAAGGAGGAACACTTGTAATAATCTGAATAAAGATTTTTAAAAAAGAAATGAGGTCACTATATACAAATATAAACTCAAAATGGATTAAAGATTTAAATGTAAGACCTGAAACTCCTATTTAAAAAAAAAAAAAAAAAAAAAAAAAAGACAGGCAGCAAACTCTTTGACATTGGTCTTAATATTTTTTTAAAAAAAATATTTTTATTGATTTCAGAGAAGAAGGGGGAGAGAGAGAAACATCAATGATGAGAAAGAATCATTGATTGGCTGCCTCTTGCACACTCCACACTGGGCATCAAGCCCACAACCCAGACATGTGCCCTTGACCGGAACCCTTGAGCCCGCAAGCCAGCGCTCTATCCACGGAGCCAAACCACAGTGAGGGCAGTGATTATTTTTTTAATGTCTCCGCAGGCCAAGGTAACAAAAACAAAAATAAATGACACTACATCCGACTAAAAAGCTATTATACAGTGAAAGAAACCAACAGAATGAAAAGGCAACCTACTGAATGGGAGAAGATATTTGCAAATGATATCTCTGTTATGGGTTTAATACCCAAAATATATTTAAAAATCTATAAAATTCAATATAAATAAACTAATTCAATTAAAAATGGGCCGAGGACCTGAATAGATATTTCAAGACAAACAGATGGCCAACAGACACATGAAAAGATGTTCAATAGGAAACAACAATCAACAGGAAAATGCAAATCAAAACCACAATGAGATATCACCTCACACCCGTCAAAATGGCTGTTATCAAAAGACAACTAAGTGTTTGCATGAATGTGGAGAACATTCTTGTGCACTGTTGGTGGGATTGTAAACCAGTGCCAACCACTGCAGAAAACAGTATTTAGATTTCTCAAAACATTAGAAATAAGACTAATGTTCCACCCAGCAATTCTATTTCTGGGTAGTTACCTGAAGAAAATGAAACAATAATTAAAAAGACAGGATGTTCCCTTATGTTCACTGCAACATTATTTAAAATAGCCAGGAGCTGGAAGCAACCTACTGATAGATAAATGGATAAAGAAGATTGGGGGGTGGAGGGGATGGAATAGGGTGTCCCCCCAAAAAATATATACACACTTTAACAGCTGATAGCTCAACTAATGT